CCCATGGAGATGCGAAGCGTGTGGGAGACTTGTCGAATGGGGTGTGACTCATTGCATCTGTTCCATCACCGTCTCCACTTGTGGGGCGCGTGCGGTCGCCGCGCGCGATCGGACCTGCACTGCACACGCCATGCAGACCCTGCGGTTGGGACCTTCGTTGGGGCTCCCGAAGGGGCCACGAAACGTGCGACGGGTGTGCCAACCCGGGCGGGGTACGCCAGGCGGACCGGACCCTGCCGCTGGGGTCGACGGTGGAGCGCCCCATGCGGCCACGAAGCGCGTGAGAGAGGTGCCGAATCGTGTGCGGGTCCGTCATGCGGACCCTGCCGCTGGGGCCGTCGGTGGAGCTGCCCATGGAGACACGAAGCCTGTGAGAGGTGTGCCGAATCGTGTGCGGGTACATACGGACCATGCCGCTGGGGTCGTCAGTGGAGCTCCCCTATGGGGCACGAAACGTGCGAGGGGTGTGACGAAATGTGAATACTGCGGAGGGCAAAGGCAGAGATGGGAGGAGGGAGGAGGAGGGAGGAGTAAGGAAAAAGGAACGCGGGGCGCTGTCCCTTCAAAACGAGGACCCAACACAAGATGGTTTGGAAAACCTGTTCTGGAAACGACCCAGGACCAGACCTGGTGGTCGCAAGCTCGCCAACATTGCGTGCACGACGCCCTCTCGAGAATCGAAAAGAGCAATCTGCAAATCGGCCTGGCAGGGTGGGGGTTCTAGCAACCTCTGGGGTGAGCGCCACGATAGCCAGAACCCCTCCTGAGCCCAGCATGGCAGGACAAGTCAGCATCTGATCGGCAAATCGGATCGAATCGGTGTGCTCTGGATCAGGCAGCATCGGCACGGAATCGAAATCGAATCGGCTGCGCCAAGATGCACAACAACGTCATGCAAACATCGGGCCGCATCGGATCGTCGGAATCTGCCGGCCCCCTTGTGGGGCCACCAGGCTGTCGGGCGAAGTTGCTGCTCCCTGCGCCAGTTGCTGTTTCAAATATCCAATGTTACAGTACTGCTGTCTGCTTCCTACTGTAAGTTGCTGAAGTCCGCGCGAGGGGGGGGAGCCTCAAACCAGCAGTTGACTACGCCCGGATCGCGTGCTCTGAATGCCCTGGGGTGCGTGGGACACGTAAAAATACATGAGGTTCGCGCCCCCGAAGCCATAATCCCTTTGTATATTATGCAATTGTCGCGTCCCCGAGGCCCCCCCTTTGTAAATTACGCAATGCTTGCGTCCCCAAGGCAACAGAGCCTCGTAAATTACTCAATCTTCGCGTCCCCGAAGCCTTAAACCCTGGAAAATTACACTGTATTCGCATTGCCGAGGCCAAGATTGCTCGAAGGTGCCCGAAGATGGTTCCAAGACGGCCCAAGAGGGCCCAGAGAGGACCCAAGAGAGCTCCAAGAGGCCTCCCGAGAGAGCCCCACGAGGCCAAAATCGTAGATGTTACGAAAGTGTTTGAAGGAGTATGGCCTTCTCGCATCTTTGGCGTTCCAACACTCCAAGACGGCTCAAGAAGCTCCCAAGACCGCCCCAAGGCAGCCCAAGACGCCTCCAAGGGGGCCCCAAGACGCCCCAAGAGGGCTCTCAGATGGCCCAAGAAGCGCTCAAGACGGCCCAAGAAGGCCCCAAGACGTCCCCAAGAGGGGCCCAAGCAGGGGACCACGAACCGAGTATTCCATATTTGTGCCCCGAGAAGCCCCCAGGAAGCACCAAGAGGCCGTCAAGAGGCCCCAAGAGGCCCTAAGAGGCACCCGAGACGCGCCCAAGAGGCATCCAAGAGACCCCAAAGATGTCCCACAAAGCCCCAAGAGGCCCCCAAGAGGCGCCCAAACCGCCTCCAAGAGGCCCCCGAGAGGCTCCCCACGACACCGCAACACATATACAAGAGGCCTCAGACCCACAACCCAGGCACGGTGGCGGGGATGGGCCGAAGGCCACTAGAATCCGCCGCCCCCTGTTGATTCATCACAGGGGTGCCTTACGTGCTAGACCCTTTCGGATTTTGGTGTTGATTCTTTTTCCAAAAGAACTCCCCCTGGGCCTCCGGCGCTCAATTCGGAAAAAAATCCTCCAAGATGGTCCAAGATGGCCTCCAAGATGGTCACGTTGGCCCAAGATGGCCTCCAAGATGGTCCAAAATGGCCTCCAAGTCCGCCCAAGATGGTCCTTGACGGCCTCTAAGACGGCCCAGGAGAGTCCAGAATCCCTCCAAATTCGCCCAAGAAGCCTCCAAGACGGCCCAACACGACCCAAGAGGCCTCCAAGAGGTCCTCCAGGAGGACACGAAGAGGCCAAAATCATCGATTGTCCAACAGTTTTTGAAGGATGTTGGCACTTGTTTCTTCTCGGCATTCCGACGGCTCAAGACGGCCCAAGAGGCCCCCCCAAGAGCGCCCCAAGATCGCCCACGAGGCCTCCAAGATGGCCCCATGACGGCCCAAGAGGCCCCCAAGACGGCCCCAAGAGGTCCCCAAGAGGCCTCCAAGACGGCCACGATCGCCTCCGCAACGGCTAAGATGACCCCGAGATGCCTCCAAGACGGCCCAAGATGCATCCAAGACGGTCTAAGATGGCCTCAATATTGCCCAAGACGGCCCAAGAGGCCCCCAAGAGCCTCCAAGACGGCCCAAGAGGCCTCCAAGAGGGGGAGGGCCCGAAGAGACCAAAATCATTGATTGTCCATCAGTTTTCAAAGAATTTTGGCAATTGTTTCTGCTCGGCATTCCGACGGCTCAAGACGGCCCATGAGGCCCCCAAGAGCGCCCCAAGATCGCCCACGAGGCCTCCAAGATGGCCCCGTGACGGCCCAAGAGACCCCCAAGACGGCCCCAAGAGGTCCCCAAGAGGCCTCCAAGACGGCCAAGGTGGCCTCCAAGACGGCTGCGATGGCCCCAAGATGCCTCCAAGACGGCCCAAGATGCATCGAAGACGGCCTGAGACGGCCCAAGAAGCCCCCAAGAGGCGCCCAAGAGGCCCCCAAGAGGCCTCCAAGAGGTCGTCCAGGAGGGCCTGAAGAGACCAAAATCATTGCTCTTCCTTTGGACTTTGAAGGATTTTGACATTTGCTTCTTCTCGACAGCGACGGAGAGACCATACAGGACCTCAAAGTCCACGAACGATCCCTCCAAGACGGACAAGATGGCCTCCAAGACGGTCCCAAGACGCCTCCAAGACGGCCAACGTGGCCGAAGATGGCCTCCAAGCTGCGTCCAAGATGATCAAGATGGCCCCAAGATGCCTCCAAGACCGAAAAGATGGCCCAATGAAACCCTAGAGTAGTTTCCAAAAAGGCAGGGGGCGGCGGTGATTCGCCGTAGGCGTCTTCGATCCGCCGGCCCCTATTGGCTTGCCACAGGGGTGCCCGGCGTGCTGGATCCTTTCGGTTTGGGTTTTGGTTCTTCTCCAAAAGAACTCCGCCTGGGGCTTCGGCCCAGCCCGCTGGGGTCCCGGAAGGGTTCGCAAGACTGCTCGAGAGGTGGCTCCCAAAGTTTTTCCTGCTCCAGATGGCTTCAAGATGGCCTCCAAGATAGCCAAGATGGCCCAAGATGGCCTCCAAGTTCGCCCAAGATGGTCCAAGATGGCCTCCAAGACGGCTCAAGAGAGTCCAAGATGCCTCCAAGTTCGCACAAGAAACCTCAAAGGCGGCCCAAGACGGCCCCAAAGGTCTCCAAGAGGTCTCCAAGACGGCCAAACAGGCCTCCAAGAGGTCCTCCAGCATCCTCAAGGACGGCCCGAAGAGGTCAAAATCATTGATTCTCCTGGGGGGATTCAAGGATCTTAGATGTTGTGCCTTGTCGGCCTTCCGACGGCACAAGACGGCCCAAGAGGCCATCAAGATCGCCCCAAGAGTGCTCAAGAAGCCTCCAAGACGGCCCCAGGACGGCCCAAGAGGCCCCCAAGACGGCCCCAAGAGGCCCCCAAGACGGCCCAAGAGGCCCCCAAGAAGCCCCAGATGGCCTCCAAGACTGCCAAGATGGCCTCCAAGATGCCTCCAAGACGGCCAAGATGGCCCCAAGGTGCACCCCAGACGGCCCAAGGTGGCCTTAAGATGGCCTAAGACGGCCCTATACGCCCACAAGAGGCTTGCAAAACGGCCAAGAGCCCTCCAAGACATCCTCCAGAAGGCCCGACAGGGTTGCCATCATTGATGTTCCTTAGGTTTTTGCTCCTTTTCAGCTCTCCGACGGCCCAAGACGACCCAAGGGGCCCCCCACATCGACCCAACAGCGCCCAAGAGGCCTCGAAGATAGCCCCATGACAGCCCAAGAGACTCCCAAGACGGCCCCAAGAAGGCCCCAAGATGGCCCAAGAGGCCCCCAAGACGCCCAAGATAGCCTCCAAGACGGCCAAGATGGCCTCCAAGATACCTCCAAGACGCACAAGATGGCCGTCAAGACGGCTAAGATGGCCCGAAAATGCACCCAAGACGGCCCAATATAGCCTCAATATGGCCTATGTAGGCCCGCAAGAGGCCTCCAAGAAGGCCCAAAAACCCTCCAAGACGTCCTCCAGGAAGGCCCGAAAGGGCAAAAGGATGTGATGTCCCTTAGGTTGTTCAAGGATTTTGGCATGTTCTTCTTATCAGCTCTCCGACAGCCCAAGACGGCCCAAGAGGCCCCCAACATCGTCCCAAGAGCGCCCAGGAGGCCTCCAAGATGGCACCATGACAACCCAAGAGGCCCCCCAAGAGGGCCCCAAGAGGCCCCCAAGAGGGCCCCAAATGGCCCCGAAGACACCGAAGATGGCCTCCAAGACGGGCAAGATGGCATATATTTCTTCATGATGGAGAGGGGGCCTGCGGCAGGGGGCAGAACTTTTGCGGATCGAGCCGGCCGGAATATAGACACGGAATCGGATCGTTCGGATAGAAATAGTCCCTGGCGTGGTCGTTACATCTCACCGTCTTGACTCTGAAAGCGACGACGAACGCCCGGTCTGCCGCCACGCGGACACGAGAGCGAGGCGGGCACCAATCACGCGGGGGGGGGGCGCCTCAGGGCGCTGAGGCTGGGGTCCAGGGAAAGCATCACGGAGTCCATTCGCTTCGCGATGGCACCTGTAAGAGAGAAGCACTAAAGGGAGGGATGGTAATGAGAAAAGGGAGGAGCAGAATAGGCAAGGAAGGAGGGAGGAAGGAGAGTCTTTCCTCTGAGAATCGGGGTAAGATGACAAAAGGAATTAAGATCTCATGTTCACACTGCTCAGGGAGAGAGGGGACGGGATGAGACATTGATAAGACAAGTATCCGCTAGGCAAGACTACTCTATCAGGAATGTGAAGGGAGAAGGTCGGCCGGGGACGGACGATGACGAGCCGAACGCACGCCCATCGCACTCCTTTTCTCTCCTGCAAGCCGAGGTTGACTTGCTCGAGCAGTCATACAGCTGCGGAACGCAGCTGACAGTTCCAGCGGACAGTGCAACGCATGCAAACTAAGTTATGTCTTAATTGATTATGAGGCGGAGAGGAGCATATTTACTCCCCCCGCGGCGGGCCGCGTAGAGCCCATCCAGCCACAGCACCCCCGGCCTGTACATTTGTACAACCACCGGAGCCAACCCGAAAAAGCTTGAACAGCTCAACGGTGGCTGCCAGGGGGCCAAGGGCCGAAGAGGCTCGACGTTTCCCACCATTGTGATAAATTCGCCGGCCCAACGGGCCAGAGGCGTGCTAAGATCTCTGGTAACTTGTTAACAATATTTTTAGTTCGCGCGCGCGGAGCGGCCCCGGGGGGCCCCCGGACGAAAAGCACCCCGACAAGGTCCCGAGAGAAGCCCAGGAGAAGCCACCAGACCACTCCAGGGGAGGGTATTTTTCGACACCCCATCACGAGGATCGTGGCCTCCGAGGGGGGAGCCGCAATCGACTACCCCCAAGAGCCCCCCAAGAGGCCCCGGGGGCCTCCAAAACGCCGCCAAGGAGCCCCAAGAGACTCCCAAGAGGTCCCCAAGAGGCCCCCAAGAGGCCCTAAAGAGGGCTCCAGGGCCGGCGGCATGAGCGAAGCGATTAAATAAATTCCCCCCGCTGGACCGGCTTAGCCGACCAGTAGAGATGTCCGCGCCCAACACGCGTTCCGCGCGTGGGCAAATTGTTTTGCATGCGCCTGCCGCGACTGAGTCACGCGGGCGAACCTCAGTTCAGATCCTTCCACGGATTGCGCTCGATCTCTCGTCTGGGCGGCGCCGGAGGCGGCGGGTTTGAAGGCGCCGATCCTCCCATCTGTACGTCCACGCCACGGGGCGTGCGAGACCGCCCTGTTTCTCTGTCAGTATCGCTCATAGGTGCCGTCCCTCTCGGCGGGAAGTGGTGGTCATGCTCCCATTTTGATAGCTGGTGCCAGCAATTCAGAGTGCACCACTCCTCGTTGGTAAGCCACGTGGCCCTGTTACGGTGGATGTAGTACCCGACGAGGGTTCCGTTCACGTAGCGCGGGTAGGACCTGGAAGGGTCGTACTCGTAGCTGTGGCCTGCAAAGCTGCAGGCAGCATCCGCGGCTGCACCTGCGGCAGCGTCAATGGCAGCGCCGGCATCAGCATCCATGTCAGCGCTAGCGGCAGCATCCATGGCAGCATTACGCGCGCGTAATTCCGACCGATCCCCCATGTTGGGATGTTGTGGGTTTGTCTCCCTGGTCGTCACGGCTGAGCCGGCGACTGAACGGGGGGATCCAGTAACTTCTTCGGATACCTGAGCGTCTGAGATGCCAGGTCGAAGAGGCGGCGGGCGCGACGAAGGTCTGGCCTCTGGTCCAGCGGGCGCACGTGGCCCCACGATCTCGGCTTCGCCGTCGCGTTCAGGATCACGATTCCTACGATCGTTCATAAAATTTATTATACTACGGCAGCAGTTGCTGCAGCGGCACCATATATTCCGCATGCAGCGCGGAAAGGTCCATCTTCTTTGTCCTGGAGTCCGGCACCAGGGTCAGGATACTTATCCTGTAGCTAAGAAATGACGTCCTGTATTCGAGCACCGTGGCAACGGACGTCGTTCTGCACTCTCCTGCCCATCTTGCGGGCCCACCTTTCTATAATGTCGTCTGTCTTAACAGCCGCACGAATGCGGCAGTCCAAGGCATATTCGTCGGTCCGTTTCTTTGAATCAATGTCGTTTGTGCTCGCCATTTCGGGACGAATGATTCGCCCCGGGTAGCCGATGACATGATTTTCTGATATGAAATAGCTGATTATCTCACGAACAACTGCGAAAATCCTTATGGGCCGAAGGCCCAACTGCATTTGCTGTACTGGTACTAACCAATTATCATGTACAATGGTCTGGATGATCTCCGGGATCACGTATTCCGCCGTGCCGGTCAGGGTAGCCCTGCCGGGGTTAGTAGGATTTAATCCCGTGTGTTCTATCATGCAATGGGCAGCAATTTCTCAAACTTCTCCCCCGAACAATGTTATTTTGATCAAAGGGTCATCATGGTGAGAGTATACGTGTCCCTCAGAATGGTCAAGAGTGAAAGATCCATCAATTATCAACGCGGCCTTAGGCCTGCTGATCGCTTTGAGATCCAGATCCATTTGCGACAGTTCGCGTGCCATCGCGGCTGCGCCGGTGGCATGTCGCAATACGGGGATAATAAGGCGATGGTCCCGACACATGCTAATCCGTCTTGAAACAGACTGAGAACTGCGAGTCGGCCTCGCCCTAAAACTGTTCTCCCAGGCGACTGGTAACCTCGCAGGAGGGTTGGCGTTGTCGGCGTTGTTTCCATTCTCCTCAGGCAATACGCCGAACCAAGATCTGCCAAACTCTACCGCGTCACCTATTGTAACAAGTGTCGGAACGAAGATGCTGGCTCTAGTCATATTGTCGAACCATCTTTCCCAGCCGATTCGAGGAGTGACTAAGTCATCCTCTTCATCAGGCCAGTGAAACGCCTGTAAGGCTGGGCAGGATCTCGGGCGAGCGCATTGGTCAAACACAGTTCCCCACAATCTCGGCCACCATTTATTAATGGACGGGGTTTGCCTTCCTACGTTGTTGGCCGAATGTTCAAGCCACGATATAAATCTCTTGACCAAAAGCCTCAAATATTGGAAGAAAGGAGCATGTCGCGCCGGAGGCTGAGCCTCGACGTGTTTTGGGATCCAAGCTGGAAAATGTCCAGGCTGGCTGTTGCCAAATATCGTGCCAGCGGCCGCCAGTATAGCAAATTGCCCGGGTGCCCATTTTCGCTCCTGCTGATTGTTGTTGTTGACGTTTTTCGTAAAATTGGCAGAAGCTCCCCCTTGTCTCTTTATTCGCGCTTCCATATATTCGTGGCGATTCCATGATAGAGTTTCTTCATGGTCCACTGTTATGGAGATGCCGTGTGCCTCAAGGGACTGCGGGATAATTCTGCGCTTCCATGTCTGGGTCATGTAATCGTGCGTGACCCTGTATTTGCGTTTGACTGGACAATTGCAGACAGGACAGCTGGCAAAACCTGTCCTCACCCAGTGGTAACGGAAAGAAAGGAATCTCCCATCATCATCCCCCGGGATAGATAGAATTCGATCTTGGTTCGCGGTCTCCAATATTGGCCTGTGGTTCCAATCAATGATTAGTCTTTCGTCTGTATGAACCCAGGCAATAATCGACTCATTGTCGAAGGTGACCTCGCACGAAGACAATTCGCGGTCGAAGAGTACCGTCCAGCGCATCTGATCTGCCTGTCTCACAAGGGAGACGGCTGTGTCGATGTCTGTGAATTTCGCCACCTCCGGGGACACCAAGGTCCCGTCTGGGCAAACTCTGTATGAGAAGCGGGTGAGCACTCTGCCGGTAAAAACAAGAATTCTATCCCATTGCTCATGGTGATTGAGATTGGGGAGGCGCGGCCATAGGTGGCGCGTGTCGTCCGCGTGCCAAGTGCCCACCGATGGCGCCCCCCTTCCTGAGCTGGGATGAGTGGCTGTCCATATCTCCGTTGGCTTAGCCACGGAGGAAAATCTAAGGGATTAGGCATAGTTGGGCTATTGTGTGCCGGGAGCAAACGCAACAATTCGTAATCTGCGGCACAACAAAGCCCAGAGTCGCTCTTCGGGAAGCGAACATGTCCACTCGTAGATTCCAAAAATGTCTGTAAGTTTGTAATATGGAGAAGAGATCCGTGACTTCTGACTTGGCCAGGGTCGCACGGGACATACATTCTTTCGATTGAAGCAGCGAACGTTGAATGTCCCTGGCACGCCCTATAGAATATGGGCATCGGCATCTCTCTTCCGTTTTCCTCTTGCAATGAGCCTCTCTTATGTTTCTCCCACATGACGTTGATTTGTGTTCCAACAATCTTGGGACTATCATTGAGACAAATTCCTAAAACTTCAACCGTCCCTGACGGCAACGCAGCTAAGCTGCGTGCGGCCACGGCGCACGATTGGAAAGTAAAACCATAATCTTGTAGTTTCTGCACCAGGTCTCCAAAGTAGACCCAGCCCCCCGACGATCTAGCATAGTCGGAGCAATGCCTCGCGATGTATACAGCACATTGGCCTATCCTTTTGGCCAGATCATCCGATCGGAAGCTCAGGCCACTCCAGGTGTCCGAATTGCCTAAGGCAGCCGGGTTCTCATCATCATCTTCTCCAACTATAAGTGGCTGCAGGCACGCATAGGCTCCAAGAGAAAACCCGCCTGGAACGTCATCGGAATGAAACTCGGCTTCAATGCAATCCTTTGCTCGCGCGAAAGATCCGTCGTCCTGTTTGAGGCCCGCCAATATTGCAAAGATTGGAACTTCCACAAACTCTGCCACGCATCGAAGCGTAATTCCTGTTCGACTGCGGATGGCTTCGACGCGCGGTGGTACAGGGCCCGTAATATGGGCGTCCTGAAGCATCTGCTTGAGAGGTTCAGGCGTAGCCTGAAGTATGTGTTGGCGTTCTTCTGTTGTCACATACAATCGTTTTTCTTTAAATACAGCAGCATGCCCCACTGTGACGTCTCGATCCCCATCGGTGGGCCCCCTGTACCTCGGCTGACCCTGTCTTTTATCTGGAGCAGGTGGAAGACTCGATCTGCGAAACATATTCGCAGACGCCGGTCCAAAAGGAAAAGTCT